TGTAGGAATATTCTGAGCAGCCAGGCCGGACGCCCAAACCAATAAGTCTGCGCGTGATGACCCTGCCAGAACCACGCACTCTTCGATGCGTTTTACAGCTGGTCCATCAGGATGAAGATGCTTTAACCGGGGATAGTGCAGCAACGGGTAAGCTGTTAGAACGTCCAGAGCACGGTGGCTCACGTTGTATTGGGCTTGCTCTAACTTCAGGCACATCGCGAAGAGATACTGCTGGACAACTGCGAATTTTTTACAGTGTGTGTGCATCAAAAGCCTTCCAGTCCTTCAAATGTACCTTTGCTTCTGTGCTGTAATCGCTGAGGGCCTTGCTTACCTTTGATCCTCGCGGCTTGTGTTGAAGATGTAGTTAAACCCCTGGTTTGGTTCCAGGCACCACGGTCGAAAATCCAGCGATGCGTGAGGCCGTCACAACCGTTGACGTGCTGCGCTCCGCCTCGGCGAAAGGAATGAGAAGAGAGGGCGACCTCGATACCAGCGGCGACAGCGATTCGGCCAAGAACTTTGTTGACGTGGGAGTAAATGGTTCCCAGTCACGACTGCTCCGTCCGCCGCAGCAGCCATAGCGCCAAGTGCAGCGTAGTCGTGGGGAAGAGCTCGAAAAGCCACATCTTAGTCCGTCTATAGTACTATATGGCAGTGTTGCGGACAAGCTGTATACCCTTCTTGCCTTCGTTAAAGGCAAGATACATGCCAAACATATCCAATATAGACACAAATGACTTTACACTATCATCTTTCGCAATGCAACGCCTGACATACTCAAAGTCTACAAACTCACTCTTTACAAAAGCCTTGAACGCTGCGATGGCGGTTGCCTTAGCTCGTTTTGTGTTTCCAGGCTTAAGCTCGTCCAGTCCCATCCTGTCGGATGTATTGCAAATGTGCAAGTGATACGTCCGCCACTTAGTTTTTGAAAAGGGATACACATATTTCTCGTATCCTTCCGACCCTGGTTTAATGCCCCATACCTCTATGCAATTCTTATTAGTGGAAATACACGTAGCACTGTATTTCCATTGGCCAAAATAATTCTAAATTCTGGAAAAGGCTGTTCAGGAGCATACAAAACTTAAGTAAGGTCGGATAAGTGATGATTCATCCATTTAGACAGTTCAGTATGATATACCTGTGTGCCTCCACGTTAAACCTGTAAACACACAGCGAAGTACATTTGCATTTTTTGCTTCTCTAAGAGCATTGCCACCGGTAGAGTAAAAGGATAGGGAAAAATGACCTCATTTTGTGTGCGACTAAACCTTTACATATTTTTGCTACATCTGATTTCGCACCGGTACCAGTCATATCTCAACTAAAGTTTAACGCTAATACGGAGAAGCAGAAAACATACGGCTTGTTGCTTTCCAAGATGAACGAAGACGCCGGCCAGGATAGCTTCCTGGACGAATGGGACGAGGGTGAAGCAGAAGATGACGAAGCTGTTGCCTTATTCACGGGCCTAGAAAGCGTGACACAGCAGTGTTTCCAGAAGGCAACGCGTACACGAAGAGGAGGCTCATTACCAGAAAAGGCCCCCAACAAGCATCGTGATTTTAGAGCTCGCTACGAGAGGATGGTCGACCAGTATTTTGGCCCAAATCCGGTCTACAATGCAGATGATTTTAGACGCCGCTTTCGAAAGAGCAAAACGTTGTTCGTGCGCATTTTGGATGGTGTTTTAACCACCGACTCCTATTTCGAGCAAAGACCTGACTGCAAAGGGGACTTGGGCATTCATCCGCTGATGAAAGTGACTGCAGCTCTTCGGGTTCTTGCTTACGCAGACTCTGCAGACGCTTTGGACGAAAATCTGGAGATGAGTAAGACAGTCGTCTACGACTCTTTCACACATTTTATTGACGTAGTTGATACTTCCTCTGGTCGGAAATGATCACGCGAAACTGACAAAATGACCAATCGCTTCAGCTCTTTTTATCCAATACGGCATCTGATTGGACCAAACGGAAGCCCTGCACCTCCTCTTTCTAAAGCCACCGGTTGTGCGCAGAACGGACTTCTATAGCCTCTGCAATATCAGGTTTAGCTCTCAAGGTTTCAAGCCTCGCCTGGAGTGCGACCCGCCACGCCTGCGCTACGCTGTTTCTTCCTCTATAAACATGTCGAAGTCCAACCTTATCGACAACGAGCGCAAAAGCCGTCATTGACGAGCTTCTAAAGATCAGCAACAACAGAGAACTACCCCGTGAAGCGTTTGATGTTCTTATGAGCCGACTTCCGGACACCGTGAAGTTAATTGAAGCTGTACAGCTCTGCAATGACGGCTGGTGTCGTAGGGGTGAGTGACTTAACCGGCTTAAGAAGAACAGCGGCAGAAAGCGGAAGAATCGAGACGAAGTACGTGACAAACTGAAGAGCATTCCTATCGGGGATAGAGCAGTTGAAAGACGTGTCAGTTAGTATGATAGGTTTTTTCAAATTTCTATCGAGGATTGAACAGTTGAAAGACCTATCATACTAACTTCGCGTGATCATTTCCGACCAGAGGAAGTACATGTTTTGGGGAGGAATACTTACGGCAACCAACAGACTCGGACTTGCTACGATTATTGGAGTCAAACGCTCGCCGTGGGTTTATTGGTATGTGGTCTAGCATAGATTGTATGCATTGGGAGTGGAAAAACTGTCCATCATCTTTGGCTGGGCAATTTAAAGGCAAGGAAAAGAAACCAACAGTGGTGCTAGAGGTTTGTGCAGACGAAGAGCTCTGGATTTGGCACGCCAATTTTGGCCATCCTGGATCATTAAACGACATTAACATTTTGGACAGGTCCACAGTGTTTGATGCATTAATGCGCGGTGAATCTCCTCGTGTGGAGTACAAGTTGAATGGAAAACCGTATTCGATGACGTATTGTTTAGCTGACGGAATTTACCCCGACTGGCCGGTGTTTTTGAAGCCGCTTCATCAACCTCGAGGAAATAGTGAAAAATATTACACCATCAGACAAGAAGCATGCAGAAAGGATGTTGAAAGAGCATTCGGCGTTCTTCAAGCACGCTGGCGCATACTCAGTCTTCCCTGTAGACTGCGATCTAGGTTAAACATGTGCAAAGTGATGCGTGCGTGTTTAATCCTGCACAACATGATTGTTGAGGATGGACGCGGTGAATTACGTGACGTTCATGAATATCTATTTGACGGGCATGATGTAACTGGTCCAAGTCCTGAATTTGTTGTGACAAGACCGGATGTGATTCGTCCACGATCAATTCATGAGCTTGCGTCGCGAATTACCAGCATTGAAGAAGAAGCAGCTCATTTCAAATTGCGCAACGATGTGATAAATCATTTATGGACTTACCATGCTGGTGAAAGTAGTTCATATTAAATGGTAATCGCTACAATTTCTTTTCATTTCACAAAACATCAACAAAGAAAATAAAACAAATCGAAAGTGTCGTGATCTATTCATGCTTGTTTCTTACTGAAACTCAACTGCTGACTTCTGACGATGTCGAGCCGCTGGCGTTAGTAATGGTGAAAGCTCCCAGACGCTCCAAGAGACTGCTTCGTCTACTTCGCAGAAATGCGCCATGCTCTTCATTTCTTGGCTCAATTGCGTAAAGCTCGTTTAACATGGACTGCAGCGCCCGTTCTTCTTGGATGCGGAGGCGCGACTTTGCAATTTCTGTCTTTGACGCCATAGAAATGGAAAGAGTTTCTTGCGCTTTAACGGCTCGTGCTTGAAGATTCACTTGTGCCCGTAGTTCCTTAGAAGCTTTTACCCCTTTAGCTTCTAGATCAGGCTCTTGCTGCTCCAGTTGTGGCGAGGTTGTCTCCTCATGCAAAGCAGCCCCAGCAGACGGTCGGGCATCCGAGTCCACGGATTTGCGCTTGCGTGTATCCATAAAGGAGCTCTGAAACTTTGGGCACTTAACGAGCTCCGCATAGCAAACTTGATACTAAAAAATACTGTTGTTCTCCGATCGATATAGCTCTTAAGCTTTTAGCAATTTGTCTTTTTTATTTGATCCAGACTCTTAAAGTGACTCGATCTTCTGCAAACATCGAGCGTACTTGGAAACCTTCTTGGATATGTCATTAAAATGTGACCGTAATGACGCCCATGATCTTAGATCATATGTACCGGTCCGGATCGCTTCAGAAATTGCGTCAGACTCCTCCATCGTCTTCTTCACTCGACTCCAAAACATTTCAGCAGTCTGGTTTACTCCCTTTGACCCGTCGGTCGACACAAGCACCCATGCTCTAGCGAGTTCAAGATCTTCCGCAGCGTCGTAATTACGACCACGAGGCGGCGGCATAACAAGAAACCAAAGTCCAACAGATCACGACAGGTAATGATACGATCTAATCTCGCAGTGAGATCTTGTGCTCTCTGCTCTCATCCACACATTGACCGAAGCTTTTGATTGGTCTACAGGATGCCACTGTCCGATGCAGAGCGGGGATCCTGCACGAATATATGACTGCACGATGCCCCGAATTTGCGTCGTGGTTAGATTATCTTCATGTTTGCTTCAACCGGTGCCAGACAATTTCAGCATTTGGAAGGCAAATTTTATTTTTACTTAACATTTGCCCCTACCGGTGGCAATGCTCTAAGGCGGCATGCTTCCTCACCTCGTTCATACGTGTGATATTGGCGCCTTATACCGACCTTCTAGCTCTAGACATGAACTGTTTACAGAAAAAGACGACCTGAGTAACATGATATGCCGCTAGAGGAGTCGTCCACGGGTCATATCAGGTAGGACAGGTTTTACTGTATTACTAGCCGGTAACCTTACCGTATCCAGACTACTGTACAGTTTGCTTGGATATAGTGGCTCTTTAGTGAAACCCTGTAGATCTACGAGTCGTAGATCTGCAGGGTTCGTAGACTACGAGTGTGCCGTAGCAATCTTCTATGATCGTCTTCTAAAAGGAGATGCGAATCGAGCGGCGACCGCACTGGTGGCCGATCGACTGGCTGGACTGAGTAGGAGTACCTCCACCGTTAGCCCTCGATGTACCGGGCCACGGCCATTGAGATGCTGTCGTACGACATGAAAATGACACCCTGGCCAGGAATTACGCGGCCTAGCCGCGGCACCACACCGGCATAAAATGACCCCACACCTTCGTGGAAAAGCATCTGGCGGAAGCAGTCCAATGTACTTTTGTACTTCTGCGCCTCCAGTCCCTGCATTCGCGTCTTCACCACGTCGAACGCTGTCAAAGCAATCGTTAGCAAGTTGTCAAAGCAAAGACTCAACGAGACCGCCAGAACGTACGATTGTTGCCGAAGACGCTGAAGATGCCGGCAGTCATGCCGCCGACAAGACTCAGAGACGCACGCTGACTACCAGTCATGTTCTGGGCGTCAGTAATGATGCCGTGGCGCTCCAGAAACTCGGGGCTCACACGCTTCTGAAACTCGCTGAACCACATGAAGCGCAGACCTTGATTCGTAGACTACGATCAAAGCGCGCAGCAACAGTTAGACCTTCACTTCCCTACTTGCCACCACCGCTACACACCTGCTTCAAAATCGTAGCCCAGAGACCTTGATAAATACCGCTGATACCCTCTTTTGCGAGGATCATCCTCGTTCCTTCCCACATACCGGCATTGGCACCGATCAATTTGGTCTTGAGCGTCTCAATCTACAAATCCACACAGCGACAGATCAGTAACGTGAACAAAAGATAACATTCTCAGCTTCTCCAATTGACGTACCGGTGTTGTAGCGAGCGTGGCCTCAATGGAGCCGGCTATCATACCCGCTGCGAGATTACGCATGGCTGACGTCTTGCCGTTCTCATCTGCCAGCCTCTGCTTGATGTAGTCGAAGACTCCGAATCGAATGCCAGCCTTTGGGATTGAGCCTAAAAGCACGGGTGCCAGTCCTCTGTATAGTGATCCGACGCCGTCGGTCTGCACGTGGTAGCGGAAGCCCCCGATCATTCCTGTGTACTGGGCGCGCATAGTACCCAGTTGCAGGTTGGTTTTGATCATCTCCATGGGCCAAATGGTGAGGATCTCGATACCGCCGGCAATGGCACCCGCCGTCGTGGCCACCATGGGATTCTTGGACTTAGTCACCATCTTATTTGCCGTTTGGAAAGATCAAAAATGTCGTGTTGAAAGTGGAAGTCTGAAGTCTGACGTGGGATAGCCACAAGAATTTGCCGACATGTGAAGAGGCAGCATATGGTGCTGCGAATTGCACAAACAGTGCGACGAACCAACGGAATGCTGCGGTTCACTAATTGTACTGTATGATATCTCGGGTAGATTGGATACATGCACGTAGCCCAAGGCAAACGTGACGAAGGACCGTAAGGGACAAAGGTTTTGAGGAGGCTCGCTCCTGGCCAATACTCGTTTGGCGCTACGCGTGACACGTCCTTGAAACTTTTGCGCTTTAGCGATGATGTCATTTGTTTTGGTGGCTCTGTGGGTCGAGTCCTGTCTGCTACACGCATTATTTCACGTTGGCAAGGGCGCTCTGCAGCCGCTGGATGCCCAAGTGGATCTCGTCTTCATCGTAGAAGGCGAAGGATAGGCGCGCACAACGCGTCATGGCCGTATTGGCTAGAACGCCACCGTCACCATCGCCATAGACTGTTCCGAGCGAGCATCGTGTGCCGGGCGTGAAGGCAACGGCGTGGTTGGCCACAGCTTCATTCAGCAACACGTCAGTGTGGACACCATCCGGCAGCTCGAGCCACACGAAGTATCCGCCAGAAGGCTCGATAAATGTGACGTCTGGGCAGTGCTTGAGCAATGCGTCGCACATGGCGGCTTTGCGAGCTTGAAAGACACTTTTTAAGTGGTCGAGATGAGGCAACAACTTGCCCTGTTCCAGCACTGCTCGTTGTGTCAGTAAAAGGCCAAGCAAACGCAGTATCAATAGGAAATTAATTCGGTAACCTGTGTGAACGAGGGCCGCAGTGACGGGATTTTGGCCGCCACCACTGCGTAGGGATCCGATTGTAGACAATGACTCAATTATCTTGGCACTGCTTTGAGCCCAACCTGGCTCGACAAGAATTGTTACGTTGGTAAGTATGGTAACGAGATATCGATCAAAAACGACCTAAGCTTCTTGCCTAGACGAAGTCCTGGGACAAGGATCTTTGAGAAGCTCCCGAGAGAGACGACTAGACCGGAATCGTCGTACGATGCGAGCGAAGACAATGGGCCACCGTTGCTGCCGAGGTGGAGCAAATTGTATGGCTCATCAGAAATGATACGAAAACCATACTTCTGTGCAAGAGCTACGAGTCGTTTGCAGTGATCAGACGACATCACAGCTCCCGTTGGGTTATGGAAGAATGGGATCGTGTACAGGAACGCTGGAACATCTCCTGCAGCCAGTGTTGCTTCCAGCACGTCCAACTACGAGAAAGAATGAATTAGTCGATCATACGGATAACAGTTGTAGCAATTTTATCAAACAAGCCACACCCACATCAATCCCGTTCTTTCCGGCGTGAATACCTTTCAAGTCCAGTCCGAGTTCACGGAAAATATCGTGTGCCAAGAAGTAGGTCGGCTCCTCCACGAATACCCGTTTGTGGGTCTTAGAGAACGCCATGGCTGCGTGAGAAGTGGCCTGAGAATTGCCCGCTGTCACCATTAGAGTCTCCGGATCGACGCTTGCCGTAGCATTGGCTCCTGTTCATCAACCCAGCGCCAGCAGTCAGGTTCCGACCGTCGTTGTCAATATTTTGTTTTATTATTTACCTGCCACGAGTTTGGCGATTTCCTCCCGAAATCCTATGAACCCTTTAGCAGCTCCATATTGCAGCATCGCAGGGTCTTGTGTCGGCTTAAAGCGATCCATCGCAGCGTCCCGGAACATATCCAGGGGCAGCAGAGATTCGGAAGGCTGACCGAGACCGAAATTGATGATCTCGCTGGTTGTGTGTGTTTGAGCGTAGGGGGATGACTGCACGGATTTAACACCGGTAGGGCCTGCATTGGAATGCAGGCTGCGAGGGGTGTTTGCAGTGTGTCTTCCACGGGCGCCAAGCGAGCATAAAAAATGCTTAGCTGTGCAGCCATCTTCGACATTTGCCATGGCTCAGTTTCGCGCTTTTTTGTGCCGATACCTAGTTTTGAATCGCAAAATTGGGTTTTTCGCGGTGCATGTACAGCCAATAAATCCAAATAAATTGCCGTTATACGGTACTCGTACCAATACTGTGCCAGTTTGGAGTAATTTTTATCAGCACAGACCTTATCACTACGCTATATCAATTACGCCGGTATATTCACCTTCACCTAGACACTTCAGCGTACCGGTAAAGCGCCTCACAAATGTCAACAGCATATGTGGAAAAAATAAAAGAGCAAGACAAGAAGTCCAACAAATGACAAGTCACAAAGTTCACTCAAGGAGTCAGTGACTCGGTCGGACCACAGACCCAAACGGATCTCGCAATAAAAGTTGTTTCCTCGCACGAAGAAGTACAGACGTCCATAAGAAAATGCTCGAGCAGGAATTCTGTGACCAAACAATCTATCACGGTCAACCACCCGAAACAAAGGTACTTTTGCTCATCGATCTCAGCCAAATCTTAATCGAGATGACATCGCAGCACCTGAAAGAGTCGGCCTTCTACTTGATTATTATGTAATACTTGTCTCTATAGAAGCTTTGTAGCATGAAGTTCGCGACTTGATAACGGTTTGGAATCTGGAACTGCTGCGTTTATATAAAATGGCAAGAGATATCCCCAGTAAAATCTCTCTACAGCATGTCTACAATTCGATGTTCAGCCGTGCTTTCTATCGTCTGTAGCTTGAGCAATTATTGACGTGGGTCCAAGCAAACCCACATAATTTTTTGCCAAATGCTCTTCGCATTGTCCGAAGCTAATGTAAATATCAAAGTTTACTTGCATTTCCAGCAGCGACTTGAAAAGTCCTTTTACACAATTAGCCAAGCCCGTAACCGCAAAGTAAACCGTGAACCGTAACCGACATGATTTGACAGTTGAAGTAGCGAATATGTGGCGTTTAAGTAAACGTCTTTCAACCAGCCAATTCAGTGCAGCGACTGTGAAGTAGCGCTAGCAGTGCTCTGCTCCCTTTGCGGCTTTGGAACCCGGAAGTCCTTGCAACGAGTCAATTGGCATAAATTCTCCCGAGAAGACTCAAGCAAAATGGTGATTAAGTAAGTGCGCATATCTTTTCTATGAAAATACTCAGCTGGCAGCGAGTGAAAGGCAATGCGAAGCGGACGGTGACATCGTCGAGACGGATAGACAATATACAGGAAAGAAATGCAGCGGTGGCATGATCCACAGATTGCGAGGAGCTCCACAGATCAGCCACGACCCGAATAGCTAAAAACGACCGCCACCTACGCTTATGCTGCTCACTTGCCTCCTCTTGCTCTAGCTTCGACAAACCAGCAGCGTAATATCAGTGGTCCTAACGACGCCGTTTGATCTCACCAGGACCGAGACGTGCTCGTTCAGCGAGAGCCGCATCTACCCCGGCCACGGCTCGCGCTACATCCGTCGCGATGGCACGGCCTACGTCTTCCTCAACTCGAAGAGCAAGTCGCTCTTCATGCAGCGCAAGAAGGCCACTAAGATCGTGTGGACCCTTGGCTGGCGCCGCATGAACAAGAAGCTCAAGGTTCGTATATTATCGCTATTGAGAAGTAAACAGGAAAAGTCCATTGCTCACTTTGTGCTACTGTTGGTTTCGTAATAACAGGTTGAGGAGGTCACTCGCCGTCGTGCTCGCAAGACCACCAAGATCCAGCGTGCCATCGTTGGTGTCTCGGCTGAGGACGTAAGTTACCACAACAGTGAGCATTAAGCAGGCGTAACCGCTGTGACTAACTCTACGCTGAATTTACAGATCCGCAAGAAGCGCAACCAGAAGCCGGAGGTCCGTGCTGCCGCCCGTGCCGCACTGAAGGAGGCTAAGGACCGCAGCAAGGCCAAGAAGACGGCTAGCAAGGCCGAGCACGGCAACAAGGCCTCCAAGGGCAGCAACGCCCCCCGCGCCCAGAAGAAGTCGGGCAACCGCGGTGCCATTTAAATCAGTTGACCTGCTCGACTGATCGACGCGTAACTCGGGAGTCTCGCCACCTCTTGAATGCCAATCATTGACACGGGGAAGATCTCTCTTTGCTGCTTTCGAGCAATGGAAAGGTGCTCTAGTGTCTCGCTTGCACGTTAGTTTGGACGCAGTCTGTGCTGCCGAGTTAAGTGGAACGAACACAATAGACGCCAGTCTTGGAGGGAGAGTCTCGCTTCCTATGTCAATTGTCGTTTTCATTTTATGTGGGTCCTGCTCTAAGGTAAAATCTTTTGAGAACAGAACGTGGACATGTAGTTGTAAGAGTTCTTGCGATCATTATGAGTCTGAAGTATTTGAAGCGTTGCCATGCAAGCATTTACTGCGTACATGTAGAATGCTCCATCGTGTCATATCAGTTGGTACACCAGGTGTACTACACCTTGCATGAGCACCGCATGACCCGCGCCAATCAAAAATGCATGGCCACCGGCGTAACCTCGAGATAGTGACCACTTTCTGCCCTCCACTCGAAGTTCGAGGTCAGTTGCCAATTCTGCTGCTGTCACCATGTCAGCTGCAACGCCGCCGCCCGCTCCCACAAATGGCGCTGTCTCCAAGGAGATGACGAGCAAGGACTACTACTTCGACTCGTACTCGCACTTCGGCATTCATGAGGAGATGCTCAAGGACACCGTGCGTACCAAGGCGTACATGAACGCCATTCTACAGAGCAAACACCTCTTCAAGGACAAGGTCGTCCTGGACGTTGGTTGTGGCACCGGCATTCTCTCGATGTTTGCTGCCAAGGCTGGAGCCAAGCACGTATATGGCGTCGACTGCTCGGGTATCTTGACTCAGGCACGTGAGATCGTCAAGGCTAACGGTTTCGCCGACAAGATCACGCTTATTCAGGGCAAGATGGAGGAGCTTACACTTCCTGTGGACAAGGTTGATATCATCATCTCGGAGTGGATGGGCTACTTTCTGCTTTACGAGTCCATGCTGGACACGGTACTCTACGCCCGTGACAAGTACCTGGTGCCTGGTGGCCTCATGTTCCCGGACCATGCCACACTCTACATCGGTGCCATTGAGGACGGCGAGTACAAGTCCGAGAAGCTCGAATTCTGGGAGAACGTGTACGGATTCGATATGAGCTGCATCAAGGAGATCGCCAAGGTAGAGCCACTGGTCGACACGGTCGGCACCGACGCTCTATTGACCGATGTGTGCCCGATTCTGGACATTGACCTGACCAAGGTCACAAAGGAAGAGCTGGCTTTCTCGTCTACATTCAAACTGACTGCTTTCCGTCAGGATTTCTGCCATGCGCTGGTGGCTTACTTCGACTGCACGTTCTCAGCAACACACAAGAAGCTGAGCTTCTCCACAGGACCCAAGGCCAAATACACGCACTGGAAACAGACCGTGTTCTACCTGGAAGGTGAACTTGCTTGTAACCCTGGCGAGATCATTGAGGGTGAGCTGACGTGCAAGCCCAATGCAGCCAACCCTCGCGACCTGGACATTGACATTAACGTTCGCTTCGATGGCGGCAGCGGTTCATACAACCAGCTGCACGAGTTTAAGCTGCGCTAAGCTTACGTGAGCTATCGATGTAGTAATACTACGCAACTACCAGAGTAGACTAGACCACTTAACACCATTTGAAAGAAAAGATACTCAAACATTTTTCATCCGTTCCATCCCATCCAACTTTGCTCTGTATCCACTTGCTTCGCCCTTCTCAATCTCGTTTTTTTTTTCTCTATAAATACAGTATCATCCATCCTGCTAGTCTTGTTGCCATGTCGTGTCTGGACACCAGATCAAAGACGCGTTTACTACTGCTCGATGTCCTCCATCTCCATGTCTCCATCGGCGTCTTCCTCCTCGGCTTCTTCGACAGAGTCTGCCTCGTCATCTTCATCGTCCTCTAGGTCAATGTCCTCTTCCATGCCTTCAGCAGCGTTGCCATCAATGACAATGTCGGTGTAGTTGTGGTCGAGTTGAGCTGCTGCCTTGACGAGCTCCTCATCATCCACAAAGTCCATGTCCAAGTCGTTGCTAGCACCAGGTGCGCCAGTCTGCATGGCGCCGAAGCCCGTGCCATTAGTGGCCTGGTTGTTGCTATCCTCCATAGCGTTGGGATCCTGAGCACCCGCTGGCGACCAGTCAATGGGGAATCGCGTGACACGTGGCTTATCGGCGAGGATGTTGCGCTGCAGCTTGCTCACGTCCACGCGAGCGGGTGGGTTCTCAAGTAAGAACGGGTCTGCGTAGTCATTATTGACATAGTAACCCACACGCACGAACTCGCGGCCACGGTACGAACAGGTGACGAGTGCAACAGTGACGCCGACCTTGTCCTCGTCCGGGATCATGTCCGGGTTCGGCGGGTCTGACTGGAACACGAACTTGTTGGTGCCTACAGGCACCGGGCCCACCAGCACCTCCTCCAGCACCTGGTCGCGGCTCTCGTCCTCGGCGCTGCCGACGTACGTGATCTTCCACTCCAAATCTGCCGCAACAATAGAGTAAATTAGCTAGCAATACTATGATACACACAGGAGGAGGTACGCACCAGCCTCAAGTGGTTGCGCGCACTCGAAAGTGACTTCAAATTGGAAGGGATTCGTGAAGGCCGTGGGGTTATCCAGCACGGTGATGTTGGTGAGCGTAACGTAAGCCATGGTATTGCTGCCTAAGAGAACGAGAAGGTTGGAGAATAAGGGGGAGAGCGAGGCTGGAGTTGCTCAGACTTGATGGCCGAATGAGTTGCTTTGAGCGGCAAAACGACAGTACCGTAAAATAAATGCAAAGTGCGATCTTACCGCGCCAAACTTTTCCCGCCATTTTCAATTGACAAGATGAACATTCCTTCTACTGTAGTGTGTTGAGGCTCTATCTGCACATGAAAATCAATAGTACCGGTAATTCCAGAGCATTATATCGATGCCTTCGCGTCGTGAATGTCATCATGGGATGAAAAGTGCCCTTCGCTTCTTTATAGCTCATGACATCTTTGAACGAAGAAAGCTGTCCAACGTGAGTTGTCCAACTTTCCTCCGCTTCCTCACGAGACGAGGCTGGATAGCACCTGAATATGTTGTTGATCCTGAAGTGAGTGATGAAGACATGCCCGTCATCGTGTCAGCTGAAGCCGGCGCAAGTACACTGTCCGACACGTCCTTACTGGGGACTGGTATTGGAGCATCATCGCTGGAATCAAAGCAGCCATCCCTGAGTTCGATAACACTATCGGAAGATGTCTGGCTGGCCTCACTTGAAGTAGCAGGCGTCGGAGAAGCCATGAGCAAAAGCCGACCATTCGCTGAATAGCCGCTGGAGTTGTCTATGAACGAACAATCTCGTTTAACTGAGCGCCGTTGTCTCCATTGAGGCTGATTGAGATAACATTTTTTGTAAACTTGCAAAGATACTCATATCCCACGAGACGTTGTCAACTCACCTTTGTTGTCGTCTTCGGACTGGTATTACTATCATCACACTTTGTAGCAGGTCGCTGCTCTGTCCTTGTCTTGCTCGTGAGGGTAACAGCGATGTCAAATCCATCTAAGAGATCGCCGAGCGCAAAGTCAGCTTCGAGGGTATATCTTGCAGTCACATTCTCACTTACCACTCAGCGAACCCTCACTGTCATCTGAAGCGGGTCCAACCACTGCCCTCTCTTCTGGGATAGTATTAGATGTCGGCAATAAAAAACAAGCGATCCCTTGTCCTTGTGGCCGGTCGAGAGTAGATTTACTGCTACCAACAGATATCGAAGCTGGTCGCGGGGCATAAATAACGTCTGTCACAAGAGCGACAAGCATGATCAGCAAGCGATTTAATGCAATACAAGACAAAAAATCTCGTCAACGCACTATCAAAAACCTCAGATGCTTCTTCCTGAAACTGGTTCACTTCAAATCAGGCACAGAAACAAGCACAATTAGAAAACTCACTATCAGTCCCACCCTTCATGTAAGGTGCAAATTTCGACCAAAACTCATTACCATCCGTGACGCCTTGCCAGCTACATGTTTGCATATACTGCGAGGCTTGAGTTGCTGTATCTTGCTCTTCATCTCCTACATCATAGACGCAATATTCAGATCAGTTCTTGAGTAATATAAACAAACTACGTCCTCACACACCGTCAAAGTCTTGGCTCGGGCTAATATCCAAGCTGTCCATATCCGTCGCATTCTGTTCGCCACACAAATCACTGTCCACATCAGTCTGGGGGGCCTCCTCAGCCGCAAAATCTGATAACGCACATATTCCACGAACGCGGTGAGTTGTTCTTCCATGTCTAAGCTGTCTTGTTCGCTGTCTCCGGCAGTGTAATCGCTACCATCGCTGTCTGTGCATTGCTTCTTAGAGTTTAGCAGCTTTCGCTGCTCGTCGCGCTTGCGCTTCCGAGCCAGCACCATAGCTGACGCGGATGTACGCATCTTTGAGTCTCTGCAGTTCCGATCACTACTAACGCCGCTTGGGAGCTCGGCCTCGTCTCGCTGGATGTGCGAGCGCCACGAACAGGCGTCATTGTTGCTCTTGCTGGGCCCTCGCAAGTTAATACTGTTGCTTCCTTTGTCCAGCAACTCTACCCGCGGCAAGTCAGCGCGCATGGAGGCCATCATCGGAGGCAATGAACCAGAGTCGAACTGGGAGGAACAGCTCGCGTTGTCCTGAGGGTCGATAAGCATGCGATGATAGAAAAAGCAGAAATTACCGACGGAAGCACCCACGGTACTTGGCTCAATTTGTTGCGGTAGAAACAGGCGCAAGTTTCAGACAAGCGAACGAAACAGTGACGCTTACTTTTGCGAGGACGAAGGTCAGTGAGCTGAGGGATGTACTGTGTTATATGCACTAAGTAACTGGTTGCGGCTCTTTGAATCCTAATGATTGCACATCCTTACAAAACCCAAACATTTCACACAATGTGGTTCTGGTTCCAATTCACAATATACTTAAGACGAGTTCAATACATCTTCTCGTCACTCGGGTCGAAGCCACTATTGAGCGCAGCGCGAAACTCGTCGTTCGCGCGCAGTAGCTCGGCAATGCGGTCGTAGCGCTCTGGGTCTTTGCGGATCAGAAAGATGAAGCACTCGGTGTCCAACTTGCCCTTAATAGTAGCCAGTTCCATAGCTTTTTTAGTCTGCATCGCACAAAGGCAACACAGTCAGACTTCTCCTATAACCTTAATGGTTAAGGTCAATCGTTAAAAAATGTGCGTACCATGGCATGCACATATTCGACCACGAGATCCTCCATGAGCTCAGCAGTTTCGTCCAGGGGCTCAGCCTCGTCTCCAAAGCCGAACAGCATGTGCTTGACTACAAGTTTAGCGGATTAACGGCAGTATTAATACACTTCATCTTATCTGCAATGACTCCCGCTGCGTCCTCTATGTGAAACCTACTGCTCTCGACCAACTCTCCGCGCACAAAAGGCTTCAGTTGTGTCTGCAGTGCGTGTGCCTCGGCTCCTGAGTCGTTCGCTGCCACTGCCGCCGCTACATCGGTGGCCAACCGCTTGGCCGGGGAAACACCTGCCTTAGCTGCAGCACCCACGTCACTGGTCTTTCGCTTGCGCGACTTGGGTGCCGCCTTCTTCTTGGCCGCGCTCCCATTAGCCTCCACAGTCTTGTTCATAGTAATTATTTAAAACTATCTGTAAAATGCATCTCTCCCGATTGTTGATTGGTCCAAAGGAAAGTCGAAAATAGCTTGAAAACTTCAACAAGTTGCAATCGCAAATTCTTCGATAATAGCCATGGGCAACAAGTCGTCGATTCTAAGGAGCTCGTCGCGTGCGGATGACTCTGGCACGCCAAGAGTAGCAGCCGGGGGGTTTGCTACGTCAGGAGCGGTGGCAGATTTTCAGCAGCCAGGGTCGTCTCCAAGCGGCCCTGTGGCAAAGCTGCTGACTGCAAACATCGCGAGCATTCGGCCGGTAGAGCAGACTTCACGGGCACCCACACCTCTGGATCAAAAGTAAGTACCGTGACTAGCTTAACCAGCGGAGGGCTAAAAAGATTACGTCAAACTGACTTCATGGCTGTAAGAATCACCAACGCAATCAAGGAACGCTGGCAGGAGCGATCGCAGCACGAAAAAGAGAAGGAAAAGTAGGAGATTGCTGCAGCTGACAGAGGTTTTCTAGTTCTTCTTGTTCAATGTTTGCTGGGTTTTCATATGTGAATGTAGCCAATTTACACGTATTTTGCTGAAGCTCCCACAGGCTGCAGTAAGTTTTTTGGAAGTATATTTGCCCTTCTTGTGATTTCAGCTATTAATAACGCTGGCTGTGTACTCGTGGAGGTTGCTTTCAACAGCGTACGCTCGACGTTCAACGCTTTTGACAAGGAAAGGAAAGGATACATCGAATTCGCCGACCTGTCCAGAGTTTTTGAGCAGCTAGGCGCTAAGTTCTCTATCGAAGAGATTGGTCAGGTTTTCGAAGAATCGGACATGATGGAAGATGGCAAGCTCACCTTTAACGAATTTCTTGTATGCCTCGCGATCGGCTTTGTTCTTCACGTAAGAAACCCTTGCTGTACAACTCGATTGACTCCTGATGGCGACTGAATGTTTACAGAAAATTCCATCTCTGGAAGGTGAACAGGAACAACCACTCAGCATTTTCTACGCCCCCATGTACGATTCCTAAATTGGATATAATCAAGTGCTGAAAGATTTTGTTTCATATAACGCAGGTCTCGAACCAGCAGCAACAGCAGCCGATCTTCATCAGGTGGATCAGGTCAATCCATTTTATTTGGAGATGTGAGAATCTGCCTTTCCAATGGCTTAAAAACGGCATGCTAACTCTCACGGTAATTGACTGTAGGGAAACAAACTGCGGCTAGCTTTTCAACTTGCCGTCGATGCTTTCCTATGGTTTGATGTTGATGGCAACGGCGAGATTAATCGGTAAGTATTCTGATCTTTATTCAATGCAGCTGTAGCTAATCTTTGTGGCTGCGCAGTGATGAAATGGTAACGAAGCTGCAGAATTCAATGACGCTCCACTCTCCAACGAAAAAGATGTCCACAGGGGAACGCAGCAGAGGTACAACACATTTATTTTGTCGTAAGTTATGGTTACAAAGTTTACCAGAGCTGAATATGATAGGCACGAGCGACGACTCCAGCAACCGGGCTATCTGGGAGCAGCGTTTCATGGAGATGGATTGGAATGGCGATGGCACGATTCACTTTAAGGAATTTCTCATGGCCTTTGAATCCTGGGTAGGCCTTGAAGAAGAAGCGTGACACACAGCGTCTTGACGAATTTATTTAGCCCATAAGCTTAATGAGCACGTCCGGCGGCCGGTCCGGCCTCGAAGAGCATCTTGCTTTGCTATCAACAAACCGCAGTGCACATTGCGCAATAGTACAGTGTAGAACATCACAAGAAAAAGGCATTATTTTTGCTTTAAATATGTTCTTGCTTGCGTTCACTTGGTTCGTCGGCCGTGGCCATCCAACCATCTTACATTAGAATTTGCCATTGCAACGCAATGTGGCAACTATCAAGATGCCTACAAAGGCAGCGCTCGCGTGTGAAGTGGCAGCTCACACACATCGAAAGACTCTTCGCGGTCGCTTGGGAATCTGGTTAGGCAATGCTGGCACAAGAGCGTCGCTGGGTAGTTGCGGCACATGTTCCAGCAGAGCCCACGGGTCTAGAGGCGCATACTCTGGCCTGGTTTTCTTCGTAGTAGCAGCACTTTGAATCGATGTCGCAGTGCGACCTACGAACACATTCGCTGCCCCAAACATGTTCATCGGACGCGGTAGCACAGACCAAACACGTCGCCTTAGTTCATCGGGGAGTTGCAATGCTTCCACAAGTTCCTGTAAGCAACAAAATAAACATCAGTCGATGCAAATCCTACACGAATCAGCCAGAGAGAGACGTACGAATTGTCGGTCGTGGAGGACGGAGGCGTTGATGATCGGGATGAGGTCCAGAATCCAGCTGAAGAGCGACAGACCTGGACCAGTGGAGACTACCGACGTTCCCAGCAACGTGAACAGCGTCTTGACGATACGATCACGGTAACAGATTGTCAAAACCGCATGCTTGCTTGGTCCAATCACACCCACAAGCTGAAGTCTCACAGCTAGTTTGCATCGAAGACGACGCAGGAAAAGACTGTTGCGAAGACCAGGTTCCGACTGGAGCTGCTTGTCATAGAGCATGCAGCCTTCGTACAGCCATTCCAGTTGAGTAGCGAGTGACATCATGTAGCGCGGCAAAAAGGCGTTGCCAGGTGGTGTCGCCATGATTCCTCCAACAAGATGCACTACCGACGTCGTGTTGAGTTGTCGAGCGAACTTGTCGGGTTGTGTGTGCTTGACGTCGTCTTCGAGAATCTGGAGGATCTTGGCTATCACTGAACCCATCGCACGTCTCGAGATGCTACAGACTGTAGCAGCATACAGCGATGCTACCGCTGAGTCTTGAGCCTCTCGCGCTGCTTCGAGCATACGAGCCTCACATGGAGTCAACGAGCTCTGCATTGCCGCTACTGTCATTGGTAACGTCGTCTTCTTATGGGAATCGTTTGGTCCTGGTGTACTTCCGTGGTGTTTGCCATCATTTCCGTCCCCGTGATGCACATGGTGCGGTGTACCATATAGTTTTGGTGTAGCAAGAGGAGACGACGACGACAGGGTAGTGATCGTCGCAGATGTCGTCTGGGGCACTGGTACGGACGAAGACGTCGAAGAAGATGATGACAGCGAAGTCAATCCTACCCCGGGAGGCGGTCGCGAGCTGCGCTTGAGGGTGCGCAGGACGATCAGACTCGACAAGATTTCGGTGGCGCTACTCGACTCGTCAAAGCCCAACTCGAGCTCCAGATCCTCGTCCTCGGCGTCTTCTTCTCCATCCGAGAAATTACTGGTTAGTAGACTACCCCCAAACGAGACTTCTTTATCCACAAGAGATGTTTTAGCTTCAGTGAAGCCATTCACTGCAGCTGCCACAACTCCATCGCCACTATCCACAGCTGCACGCTTACTAGACCGCGTAGAGAGCTCTCCTTGTGGCGCTTTCCGTTTGTTGGAAGCTGCCGGAAGTTGCGTTTGCTGTCGAGAACGACGCTTAGACCGCTTGACTTTCTGTTGCTGTCGACTCATTTGCAAGTCGAGGTAAATGGACCCTCCTCGATGAAGTGTCCACACGTTCATCTGGTCAATAATCTGGTCCACTTTGAGCAACTGCACTTGCCCATTGCCGTCCTCTGCCGGGGATAAAGGTGGACGGAAAAAGTGCGTTAGCAGAACGGCTGTGTGCCACTGCTTCTTGTGGTACACCGGGAGGATATGCTTCTCTCGAGCCTCTTTCGTGTCACAAAAGATCGTGTCGCGAACAATACTGTCGGAAGTCAAGTTGAACAATGTGGCGCTCGCCAACATGCCACGCTCTTCACGCTTGCGAAGTACGAAGTTGTCTTCCATCTGGTAGGAGATCTGGCAGAGTAGAAAGCACAATGGGAACATCAAACATGCCGGCACCTGGGAGCGCAGGAAGCGCAGGTGGTATTTCGTCTACCAGGACGAGCACGGTCAGTCAGTAGTGTGCTGAATACATGTAACAGGCAGGGCGCAGGCATCAACCACTCACCAAAGGCTCGTCGAACATGACCAATTTCTGGGGATCAAGCAGTAGATTCTGTGGAGGTTCGGAGAACAATTGGAAGACCAAAGCCATAGCTAGTAGCTGCGTCGGTAGATTCGGCGGTGGGTCACGCGAGGCACGGCGCTAGTTACCACAATATCCACGTTAGTCGTCAATAGTATCCTCACACAACAATATTAAATCGTACCAGTCGCGGGAAGAGCGGTACGAGAACCAATCGGAGCACCTGGGAGAGATCTAGCACTTTATGCACAACCAAAGACACCAGGAAGCTCTTGAGTCCGTACTGCAGTCGATCCAGACGGCCCTTTTGATTGAAAGCGAAGGCATCCTTGCTGTTGTCGACATTCAAGAAGGGATTTCGTGAGCGCTTGGGTGTGTCGCTCCCGGCGAAACCAGGTAGCACTTCTTTTTGTAGCCACACGACTAAAGTGTTGGAGAACTTCTCGTTAAACTCCTCGCCATTATCAGGATGTTGCTCCACGACCTCGCGAATCAGGCGCACGCAACGATGCACATAGTGCGGAGTCGTGATAGGTCGCTTACAGTTTGACTTGATTCGTGCCGAGATGTTGGCCATCCACTTGTCCATCGCCTCACTCAGCACAGCTCGGAAGAAGAACACGTAGTTAGGCGTGCGCCGCTCCCGTGTAGCATTCGCGTTTGTTGATCCTACAGACGAAGACGTCATGCTCATGTTGATGGAGTTGACTGCGAAGTCGATGGCGCTATCGCGGCACTTGGCTTCAGCTGAAGGGGTTGCCTCACCAACCACCTCCTGCCACGATAAGCTCGCGTAATTAGGCTCGAACGTTGCTGCAGACTCGGTCGATGTGGTGTCTTGGTTCATGCTGTTCGGACTCTGTAACGGGGTACTACTCCCAGCGCCAGGAGTCGCAGGTGTCTGCTTCCCGTCAGCACCAGGACCTTCAAAAGAGCGCGCCTGCAAGGCTTTGAACGACTTGGCCAGTGCGCTCTTCAGCTCCGGTGGAAGAACCTCACGAGGTGGCGGGATACGCACGATAGGGTTCGTAGCCTCGAGCGACAGTTCTTTCTTCTGATTCCCATTGGCTCCTGTGCCATTTGCATTGGCCCCCGTACCGTTTACAGCTCCTCCTGCTGCTGCATCTTGGTTCTTCCTCGCGGTTTCTGCAATAGGCTTGAGCAACGCAAATGGCAAGTCCAGTTTGGCGATCTCCTTCTTCTTGATATGTGCGTAGTACATCTTGCAGAAGAACTGAGCCACGTTGCCGGCTTTATCGTCAGCGTTCTTCGGGATACGGTGGAAGCGGTCCACGAAAGACTGCAGCAGGAACGGGATCTGGTCTGTGGCACAAAAGGCAAGTTCGTGACGTTCGATCATCGCCAGCACGACGTTCTTCACCAGGAAGCACGGAGAGCGTCGCAGGAAGTGTACGAGCACTTCAAGAAGCGCCAAGATGTCCACAATCTCAAGAATCAGACATACCAGTCGCATCACATGCTCCACACTGCCGTAGTCCGAGAACCGGAAAAACGTGGTCTCTTCATAAATATTGTGTAGGAACCAGCGCGTGAATCGTCCTTTGTCGTGGCCACACATGGTCTTCACAGCTGATACCAACTCGCCCACTTTACCCTGGTACTCTACTTCTTTCAGTACTCGGCTGCTGTCTCCTGAGCTGGCGCTTGCAGCAGCAGGAGTAGCTCCCGCAGCTCCTGGCGTTCCAACCGTCGGTGTGTCATTAGCTTGGCCGTGTGTATGGAACACGTAGATACAAAGTGACTGTGCACGCTCCAGTGTCTTCGAGTAGTTTAGATGTTCACGACGAAGCTCCATGACTTCGAGCCAGCGCAGATAGTTGAGTTCGCCATCATAGCTGTCGTCTGGGAGCATCGGCACGCATGTAGGCAACGGGAATGGACTTCGAGGGAGCTGCCACAGGTACAGCTTCAATCGGTCGCTCGAGGTGAGCAGGTGAATATCATTGGACTTGTACCCTCGTCCTGGTGAGCACTCGATATTGTACGCAGTATGAACCACCGCTGCTGATTCTCTCCTCTTGGAAACACCAGCACTGCCCCCAGCCCCAGCGGCTAGCGTCAGCAGCGGGCTATTGCCCATTGTCGCCGCTGCTTCGTTGCAACATGAAGCAAAGTCCACAAAGCTGGCCACACTGAACAATCGACGCCGGACGAGAAGACAGAAAAGCTCGATAACTTGAGTGACTTCCGTGATGACCTTGGGCTCGTAGCGATGCAAGAAGTTCTGCAACGCGCTCTGAAGCACAACCTGGTGGTCTTTAGGTCCGCATCGAGGTAACAACCCCTTGCTGTGACATCAGCCGTACCACACAGTCAGCCCATGTATTCATCATCAATGATATACTCGTCGTACGTACTCTTTGCCGAATTCGAGAAGCGTGTTGCTGTGCATCTCGATCAGCGCAAGCGCAGACAAATAGCGATACTCCGCTGGTCTCTGGTTTGTCACTGCCCACTCACAAACGAGGAAGAGCGCAGCGACATCGACAGGCAGCTCAGCAGGGAATCCACTTCCGCTTGGACTTACATTGGGGAGGGGGCTGAACACTTCGCTATATACACGATGTAAGTCCGAGGTTGAGTCCACACAATGAAATCGGTCCAGCGTCTGCAGGATCTGCGCCTCGTTGCGCATGGTAGCGGCAAGCACCTGGCCTCCACCCGCCGAGCTGAGAGACGGACACGCCTGTTGTAGTCGAACAATGCGCCCAGCAAGCTCCTTGTTCTTGCGCTGACAACGATCAATGCAGGCCTGTATTGCTGTTGCACTGTAAGCATTGCGGCTGAAAAACCGATCAGTGTATACGAAAGCTGGCCATAATGGAGGTGCTGTACATACATACAAACGAAACGTGGTTAGCATGGTGTCGCAGCCTTCGGCTGGGACGCTACTTACCACTGTCCTCAAGACGAACGAGTACGTCATTGCCATTGAGAAGAATATCACGCAGCAACTGACACAAAGCCACGAGAAGCCCTTCTTGTAGTGCACTTCCTGCTGTTTCTGGGGGTACTGGGCGTCCAGGGGGCAGCAGATAGCGCAAGTGTTGCAGCACTGTTTTCACAAGCATTAAAACTGTATCCGCGGACAGCAGTATCTCCGGTAGCAGCTTCTGTATCACCGATATCAGCTCCATGATATCGTTCACTCCAAGCGGAAGCACAGCTGAACACCGAGTGGAACCGCTAGCTCCACGTTGTGATCGTGGTGTTAACGATTTTTGCAGCAGCGACAGAAGTCCATCAAAGTAGTGCGCACGATCCAGCAGTCCCATCTTGAACTGGTATTCCGACAATTTCAGTACGTACGACCATTTCTCATGCCACGACAGCGATGAAGGAGAGCTTTCCACCCCGCCACTACCGGGAGCAGCCTGAACACCAGAGCCAGCGTTTGTTACAGATGGTACTTCTCCGTGCCGCAGCCTTGGGGTCATTAGTGTATGTGATGCAAGCCCCTTACTAGCTGTAGATAACGTCGCCCCGCTGTTGTTACTGGACACCTGGACGCCATTCACCGCTGTCTTGTTCGTTAATCCCTCCGTAGACCTGTTTTCCGTCCCTGAACTGCTATCCTGTGCTGCCTGACGTGCCACCGAATGCAAGAAATCTACGAGCTTGTCTGTCCATCCCTGATTCCGCCGCTGATTCCGTCGAGGACTCAAGAACCAATCACCTGTTCGAAGACTGCAATCACGCTGAAGGTCCCGCATTTCCGTGTACACAACATTGATCCGCACAAACCACGTGGCTTCAGCGTAACCGGGTCGATACCTCACCACAAACTCGAGAAGTGGGCATTTCGATACACCCGGCACTGCTCGCCACTGTTTGAACGGTACTCCATGCATCTGTGTAAGTTCTGCGGCACTACGAGCACCACTCGCCAGCTCACTCATCCAGATATGACTTGTTCGGTCGTCTAGTCGTCGCACATGGCGGATCAAATAGCTAGTGAACGCTCGTTCTACAGCTGCAGTGGCCGCCACTGCACCCTCCTCCGCTCCAGACACCGCACCGCTTTTTGCTTCGTCCGTGCCTTCCCGTAACCGGCAAATCGCGCGTGTGGCTCTCGAAAGATCATCAAAAATGGCCAACTTCTTGTCTGTAAACGCCGAATACTGCAGATGCCATAGCTGATTGAAACCACGCGGCAGCGGACTGACATACGCCGCATTGCGCAGTGCATGGAAGCGGAACTTTTCCTCTGGAAAATTGGCGTTTGTCGGGAACACACTCGGGAACATGGCTAGCTTGTCTGTTACGTACGGGTGTTCCGGTTCCTATAGCAAAATCGAATGGAGTCCAGCCCTTAATGTACATAATACCTTAATAATACCGTAAAGACTTGCCACGACCTACCTTCATGTACTTAACGTCCATACCGATGACGCGTGTGGCCGCATCTGCAGGCGACAGATCGTTCCGCCTTGCGCCTGTCCGGTGCATTAGCAGCAAGTTCTTTCTCTCTCGTAGACGTAGTGCCGGACTGCCGGACGCACCAAACGGACTGCGACCGCCACTGTTTCGTCGCTCCCTAGAGCTGCCACTGGCGTCTCGAGACCGCGAACGCGGGCGACTGCGTCCGTCGCGGTCTCTATCGCAGTCTCTGTCCCTGTCTCGCTCACGGTCACGGTCTCTATCACGATCGTTGCGGTCTCGCTCCCGGTCTCTCGAGGACATGCCACCTACCGAGTTTGACGAGCCTCGGCGTGGCAGTCCGCGACCCGAAGAGGTCGACGACTGGTAGTTTCCACCGCTATTACCACCACCCGTTCGCCCGCCGTGAGATGAAGAACCGCGGTCTTTGTAGACGGGTCCGCCAGAGCGGCCACCGGCCTTGCCGTCGCTCGCGTGGTAACTCTCCATGCCACCGTCTCCGGTGCTCGCAACAGACAAATGTATGGGACTTTATCAGCCCCCCTCCATGCCACACCAAATACACATGAAATTGGAGCTGACAAAAGTAAAGTAGCACCAGATTGGCTGAAAATGAATTTGGACCCAAAAGATACATTTATTATTAATACAGTAGTAACTTACTCGTACCACTACCTCGAAAATTTATTCTCTGAAGTATGATAATGCACACCACACTAGAGGATGGGGCTGGTCGTGCTTATTTATTAATGTACTACTACTAGTAATTGAGCAGTATGACAAAGGAGAACATAGCTGTATGATAGAAAGGAAGCTAGTTAAAATACTTGAAGTTATCAAAAATAAATTACATATCCTGAGTTCGCTCAAGCTGTTCAGTTTAATAATGGCTGTTCGACCTGCTTCAAAAAATTATTTTGGATTCCGAAGTACCCTCTAAGCATTATGGTTACCCAAAGTGGAAACTCTCTAAGAGATTATATTCTCGTAGTAGCCTCAAGCTAATATTACTGGCTCTCACTGACCACATCCTTTCTAATAAGTGGTGTGTAGCTCTCAAGACCTTATTAAGTATAATGAACCTCACTTCGTCTTTTGACACTTACAACATAAGAAAAGTTGCTTCACTACGCTTCCCGCTTACCTCGCCATAGGTTATGAGCTCAAGCCAAGCCTCAAGTGACGACTTTTTACGCCTCGTTGGCGCCGAGAGCTTCGACCTGTGGAAGGCCCGCATATGCGCATCGCTCGATGGCAAGCATCTTCTTGGCTTCGTGATGAAGCCCGACTTCGGCGGCATCTCTGGTGAAGAGGATGACGACAGCGGGAGCGACATGTCTAATGTGGATGACAACCCGTAGAACAAGCCGGAGCAGAGTACTGAAGTCGGCTCGGACACTGTAGACTACGAGGAGAGTGCCGATGGACTCAAACCTCCATCCGACTCTGAAGAAAGCTCGGACGCCAGGTCTGACTCTTCAGTGAAACGTAAGGATCTACCTACAATTCGCTCGATCGACCACTGCCAGATGCGGAAGGACCACCAGCGCAGAGTGAAGGAGAAGCCTCAGCCTCTCAACCCCCGTGAGCATCGTCGACAAGAAGCGAAGACGAAGGTGTCTCATGAAGACTTTGGACAACACCCACGTCCGACTCGTCAAGAGCCTCACGACTTCGTACGAGATCCTCACGCGCAGTTGTGAGAAGTACGAAGGGGCGTCGTTCCATGGCGATCCTTACTTCATTCAGCACTACATGATGGAGATCAAGTACAAAGAAGGATCAGACCTGACCGAATTCTTCCTAGAATGCGATAAAAGCTATAGAAGTAGCCACTGAGTCGGTGATGACCGAGCGACTGAAGTCACTTTACCTGTTTCACTCGATGCCTAAATCGTGGAATAATGACCTCCTTATTTGGAAGGGTCAACGGGAGTATATCCCGTATGAGGACCTAAAGCAGAGTATCGGAGACAAGGTCCGCGACATACAAGCTCAGGAGCGCTACACAATCATGAAGAAACCACCTGAGATTGGACCACCTGCCCAGCAGGAAAGTGATCCCACCGGCGATGTGTGTGCTTACTGTAATTGACCACGCCATGAACATTCGCCAATGCCGAGGCCTACAGCGATACCTTAGAGAAGGTCCAGTGAAGGCTAGTACGATCCTGCCTGCCAACTTTGCTGCTACGATCAATACAACGCTCAACCACCCGTACCGCAGCGCTAAACACAGAAACAAAGGCCACAATAACGGCAGGGGAGGTAGTATCCACAAGAGCAGTGGTGGGGGTGGTGGCAAGGACACGCGAGGCAACAGCGGTAAGAATCACAGTCGTAAGCAGGTCAACAATCGTCCGTTTGACTCTGATGACGACACCGAAGACAATGACGACCGCACAGTGCGTCGCCAAGACCGCCGCGATGTTGACCTGCTTGCTGTTGTTACGTCCCTCAATCCACCAGTGAGTCTTGCGGCCAAGCCCAACGTCGAGCTGGATCCTACATGGACCATCGACTCTGGATGTACGCGTCACGTGACGCACGAATTTCAGTGATTTGCTATCATTGCGGGCAGTAGTGGCTCTATTACTGTTGGAGGTAGCAACCAGATCCCAATCGAAGGCATCGACCGTGTTGAGCTGGCCGTTACCGACTCCAAAGGCAAATTCCAGACGCTCATCCTGCATGGCGTTCTCTATGCTCCACAGCTACGTTTTTGCCTGCTATCAGTACCAGCGGCCGTGAACAAGACTGTCGCTTCAACTTCGATCGCAAGCACTGTGGCGTCACAACGGACCAGTGCTTCAAACTCGAGACGCCGATGGCTACTAACACTAACCTGTATCAGTTTCAAGCCCAGCCAGTGCGGCACTCGTGGCCTCAGGTAAGTAGCGTTCATTTCTGCTTTCACACAGGAGACTTGAACATTCTACGTCCGTACCCAGTATGGCCATCTAGGAGCCAAGCCAATCGGGGACTCAACGTCTTTGCGACTGTAGACCAGAAAGCTTAGTCCTTCTGCACAGCGTGCACGTAATCAAAACTGCACCGCTCACCCTTCTACTCAGATAGAACTATTGAACGTGTAAAATTCTCTTTGAAAAAAGTGCATTCCGATATCTGTGGCCCGCTTCCCGTGCCCAGCCTCGCTGGCTGTCGCTACTTTCTGATCTTCGTCGATGACTTTTCTTGATACAAGTTTACCAATGCGGAATCGTAGCGACCTGTACGAATTCTCTTCCGGTGAAAAGCTCTGAACATTTTCCGAAGGGATGTCACTGTGCTTGCACATACTCGCATCATTGAAAGTCATGATATCCAGCAGCTTCAAGCGGACAAGGCAAAAGAATATGAAAAACTAGGTTGCATACTCTTTTAGAAGTACGGAGCTCACGCACCGTTCACAAATGCATACACTCCGCAACAGAACGATGTGGCTGAACGACGCATGCGAAAATTTATAGAAAGGGTTTGAGCGCTACTATTGGACAGAGAACTCCCAAAGCAACTATGGACAGAGTGTGTCTATCATGTGACAACACTTATCAGCGTGACGCCTAGCTCGAAAACGGCTGATCGCACGCCGTATGAGCTTTGGCACAGCCGGACCCCATCGATGAATTTTTGTAACGTGTTTGGGTACTGCGCTTAGCGCACATTACAGAGTAATGCCGAGACAAAATCGATGCCAGAGCCCGGTTATGCATATACCGTATCTATCGGGCCCAGTGCGACAGGTTTGAATGGCTCAAATCAAGTGAGTGTGAAAAACCTCATTAGTTTTTTTATTGAGGGGGTGCCGATGACATCCACCCAGCAGAAATCAACCGGTCCCCCTGCCCCGAAGACCTAAGAACACGAATCGGACATAGCCGAAAGTAAGATGTAGTTATAGGACGCAAATATGATACAAAACTAACTTTTATATACACTATTTGAAAGGGACCGAGACAGCCCCCGTATCAGCAGTGGCAGCGAGCTTGTCGGTGCATCGCTCGACTGTGTATAGGTGAAAAAAAACGCACCGTCCTTCTTGCAGACAAAAAGATTGGAGGCAAGTGCTACGTTTTTTCGAGTGCCTAGGACCACTAGGCATTACGTGTTCGCTACCCTGAGTTAGAAGCAAAGTAAATGCTCTTGCTGCTCTAAAATGCACTTTTTAATAAAAACTAAGCCTCAGTTGCCAGGTTACCATCCTATGTAGAAGAGATTCGCAAAACCCGCAAGTTATGTCTGACAACTAAGTGTTTAGCGCTGATGATCGCTAAGTTTGACAGCGATTTGCTGCTGCACGTCAATGCACGGCTCTTCGCTCGTGGACAGTGCGTTTCCTCAATCGCAATCGTCTTAGAGTCCGCCGTATTACCCACAAAGGCACTAAGATTCGCAGCGAAATGCAGGTGAGTTTGCTGTCTATTTGTATGTTTGCATGCAAGTTTTTTTCTCGATTAAGTCGGTTTTCTTGTTGTTGTAAATAATGTCTATTTTGTGTTTTACTGCTAGGACAATGCTGATGCTTTCGCTAAACCAGTCACTGTTGCTGTTGAAGAAGATGGCGTGTTATCTTTTCATACGTCCTACAATACCAAATATGCCGGCTTGTTTAGCATGGATCAGACGGCGGTTTGTATGGATAACCCCGGCCGGCTGACCATTGACTACTGCGGGGCTAAGAACGTTGACGTTGCCCAAGGAGCTGCAGTAAACGGCGGACGCTGTAGCGTGTTTTGGTGCGCATCCGCGACTGGTGAAAAGCTAACACCATTTGTCGTTTTTGCTGGAGTGCCTGGTGGCCCTGTCTCACAAGAGGTATCAGATCCATCCTTTGGTGACCCTTCGGTGGTACATAGAGTGCAGACAAAAACCTTTTTGTGACCATACAGTTACGATGGAATGGATCAAAAAGGTACGCTTAATTTTGTTTGTACAATTTTAATGACCTAGCCTTCTTTCTTTTAGATATGGCGTCCAAGTATATCGGGGTGTCGGATGCTGCTATTAGATAGCTTAAAAGTGCACAAAATGACGAGCGTCTGCGAGCATCTTGAGGATGCTTGCGTGACGCATGTTCAGTATATTCCTGCTGGGATCACTGGCTTGAGCCAACCCATGGACGTTAGCGTCATGAGGTCATTGAAGGCTAAGATTCAGTACGTTTGGAGCATGAAAGTGAAATGTTCAATTTTTTTACTGACCTAAATTTGTCGGAACAGAGATTTGTACGCGAATTATTACATTGAACACCCTTTCCCATCAACGGCCGGTGATCGACGGGGAAAACTAAGGAGGGCCCTCCAGCGGGGGGGGGGGCTTACAAAAAAAGCTACTTGTTGTAAAATATAGAACGAACCGTCGGCAACGGTAAATCGAATTTTTGGCGTTGCCGACGTACAAGACAGCATCATTACAATACACATTTCACAACGTTTAGATTTTATAAATAACATATTGTAACTTCTAGATAAGAAACCACCACAGTGTGTTCTTTCATTCCACAATCAGAGCTGTCTTCATTCCACAAACTCTTGAGGGAACACCCTACGCAATGTTGGAGCAACTTTTTCACATTGACCCTCCTCCGGAAAAAAACCTATCCAAACCATGATCTCGCTGAAGCCGCGCTTCATGCGTGGACAAGATCAAATGGCTTCAACGTATCGCGAAGGCGTATACGAAATAATGACAACGGCAACATTTGCATCCGAAATTACGAATGCGATCGTGCGGGCAAACCGAAGTGTACTAAAAAAATGCATGAAAGAAAATACTGTAGGTGTATACTTCTCGTCTCTAATACACGCGTCCTCCTTAATAGCTTTTTGGACAAGTTTTAGTGTCGAACTCAGTCGAACAACGCGCGACTGGCTTCGAAAAGGAACATCGCTAGCTCCTCCGACCTCTCGAAAAACTGGTGTGTATGTGCGTGATCGTGCTTCGCTAAGCAACGCGTCGATCGTAGATGTAGCTAGTTGGAATGATACTATAGCAAAGCCGGAAGATGGAAACGAGAGGCGCATGGTGGAGGAAGCCGAAATTAAAAACTATATTTGCTGTAGCTCTCGTCGGCAACGCCAAAAATTCGATTAACCGTTGCCGACGGTTCGTTCTATTTTTGCAACAAGTAGCTTTTTTTGTGAGGGCCCTTCCAGCTGGAGGGCCCTCCTTAGTTTTCCCCGTGATCGACGCGCGATGCTCTCCTACTTCATCGGAAAGGCGTGGGTGAGCGTTAAACCAGAGACAATTGTGAATGGATTTCGCAAGGCTAAGCTACTCCCAATTGGGCCTCGTGACGCCCTCGGTGCATTTAGGACGTACTAAAAGACTCTGTTGTAGACGAAGCTGAGCCTGATAGCGAATAAACGTTTATGGTTTTTTTCATTGTATGAATTATTACAGGTATGCGAAGGGGTGTCACCCCAAAACGTTTTGATGCTGCATTGGAATAGTTTGTCGCACTGGGGTCGATAAATACGGTACTTAGGCATCCCTGGTTATAAAAAGGCTATCACCATATGGACCTCACACGCATGTCATTGTATATCGTCTTTAAAAAGGACGAATTTCCCTCGCTAGCCAGCCTGGTTTCCACCTCCGCGACACCACATCACGCGCAGACACAACAACCTACACCTGCAGCATGTGCAACACCGACGCAACACCCCGCCCCTCCACCGGAACCTGCAACATCCATAACTGCGGACGGCACAGTCCAACGTACAGTCAGTCCACTCGGGAAGGCGCTTGATCATAACGTTATACACTACTCATTCTGAATTGAAACGGGATCAGATCCTATCGCTTCTCATGCATCTAAGCGACCCCGTCATAGCGACGACGCGGACGTGAACTTCACCTCGGTGGAAGATCTACAGGAGCAGGAGCAGTATCGGACGTTGTTCTACACGTTACTAGCGATTTGGTACGTGTGTCCGAACCCACGACGGATCGAGCGGCCATGCTGTCGTCTCACTCTGAGCGGCAGCGACTTTAGAATATAAGTCTCTTAGGGGATAATAAAACCTGGGTTCTGGTGCCTCCTCCTAAAGAACGAAAAAATCTAACAAGCCGTTGGGTCTTTGTAATCAAGTATACTGGCACAGGCGAAATTGATCGCTTTAAAGAGCACCTAGTTATTAAGGGGTTTATCCAGAAATTTGGAATTGGCTAACACGAGATTTTCTCACCCGTTATTCGGATGGAAGTGCTTAGACTGTTTCTCACTATCGCAACCCTGCTCGATCTAGAAAAACGTCAGATGAACGTGAAGACACTGCGATATAACAGATGAAACCGGTGCGAGCTCGGCGGAAGACATATCAGTCTTTATCTAGCTTACAAGGTTCAAGGCTCTCTAGGAAAGCAGACAGCGTCTGATACCAGACTCGAAGGGCTTGCTTAAGTTCGTATCGACGTTTTAGTAGCTTGCACATGAGATGCTCCTTACCCGGGATTGGAAACCTGCCATAAAGATCGTATCTTCTAAGAAACCGTTAAGGAATGCGAAAGACAACAAATTGCTAGGAAAGTTCATTATCAGCTAGGCAAACCCGCGGAAATCCTACTGACTCAAAGACAACAAATTGCTAGGAAAGTTCATTATCAGTTAGGCAAAGCCGCGGAAATCCTACTGACTCATATCATCTACTTCTGTTTGCAGACGATGAATGGACGAATAAAAACGTAGAAATCAATCCACCTTCGCTGACTCAATCGGCTCACCTTCTTTCAAATCGGAGATGAGCCGGTTCTCCCCTTGAGCTGTGAGAACGAAAGCGTGACCGACGGTTTTAAGATTGTAAGCTGCAACAACGTAGACACCATCCGTGAGCTAGATTTCTCTCAGCACATACACACCACGCCGTCCAGCAACTGCAAAATTGTCCAATGCCATGGTTCTGCAAATGAAGTCACGTCCGGCATCACGTAGGCGACGCAGGATACGAGAACAACCTTCCAAAATGTCCCGTTCGTCAAGTCCTTTCTACGAGAAGCTCTTTGATGCTCCACAAAGACATCAATGTCCTGCTGCGTCACGATATCAGGACGTCCAGACAGCTCCGCTGCACCTCTCAATGCGTTGAACACGCAGATTCCTTGCATGTCCGCACCGGTAGCATATTTGCCATACTCATCGGAATGATCCCGGCCACCAAACCTTGGACAAACTTTGGTCCAAAAAAGGTTAACCCTCCACAAAACCTATAACGATGGTTCGATATAAGAGGTATCATCGGGCGTAGGATCCGAATTTGAGCTCTATTTTTGCGTATCTGCAAGCTCTTGCCTTTATTTCAGCTGTTTCAAAAAGGCTCTTTTTCTTGCAGAATTGTTTGCAATTGTGGGCCTGCCACGTACTTAAACGCGTGTGAATTCATGGGCAGAACCGGAATAACAGGTGAATAATTTTAGGGCCGGATGGTCATTTTGCTGATATTTCCGCAATTCGACGATTGCTAGAAATCTATGAACTGGCAAAAATAAACCTGTCAAAGGAATATCTAGAGTGCAAAGAAAATACAAAGGGTCACTCACCCAGATTCCTAGTCAGCTACAGCTTCATTCTCATCAATGGCGTAATTATCTTCGGCGTCCTGGTTGCTGTCATCGGGTTCCGATGCAATTTCGCATTCATCAGCAAGCTTTAAATACCTTGTTTCGTATTTTTGTGCGTGACTGTATGCATTTAACCACGTATTCGCCGAGAGCAGCGCAAAACCCTCGTCGATTTTAGAGCGCTCAGGCATAGTAGACGCTGGATTGTCGGCAATCCGGCCTTTGATATCCGCCCATATCAGCTCCATTGGTTGCAATTCAGGGTGATACGGCGGCGTATAGTAGACCAGGTGTCCGTGCAAACTGGCAAGCTCAGTAGCTCTATAAATTGGCTTCGGCTTGTTCGCTCAAACCAACATCATCAATTCTGCTTTGGTGACTAGTGTCATACCAAAATTCTAAATAGCAAAATACCATTCGGTTTTTAAATATCTGCAGTAAATTCATTCTTTACGAGCCATTATTCTCCAACCACTCCTGAATATCACTTTTTAGCGACCCAGAATTCGAAGTGGGTTTGTTTGGCGTTTGTGATAGCTGGACCCGTCCATGTGAATAGTACATGGCCCATACTTGGACGCCAAGATAGCACTCAGATTCGCGAACCACCTCTCAAATTGTTCCGTGTTGAAGTCGCCGTGATAATCATCATCGTGCTTGCGTTTTAAGTTGAACTACCAAACCTCTTTTGATTCTTTAATCAATTTACCAAAAATTCCGTTCTTCTCTCGTCGGAGGATACCAGCAGCTACAATGCATTTTTTTTTTAATAATTGTAAGATGAACTACTTTTTTTTTTAATAATATAAGCTACAAAAAAACATTTAACACACGCACCGTGGACCTCGACCGCTCTTTGTTTACCTTAACTTGTCCTTGTCAGCCCACGATAAAGTTGCAGCGTGGTGCAAGTTACAAAATGTTTTGTGGAGATACACCGCGGGGCGCACAGGAAAGTTACGTCTGTTCTGGTTCGAAACCTTTTTTTTTCAAGTATAGCGTTCGTAACGAAACATTTGCCCCAATGTCATAATATTGCAAGACTTGCCCTTAATAAATTGCATTCCCATCCTTCTTAGCACACCACGTAGTGAGCGTACCGGTACCAATATGTCATGTTCTTTTTTTTTTAGCTGTTTCGCTAAATGTGGCGCGGTAACAGGCTTTCCGCTCTTGTTCATTCTCGATACTAGCTCACCCCCGAGAGGTTGTAAGCTTTCTTCATGTTTACAAGGCCTCCCAGATGGAGTTGGACCTTCCATCTGTCATATACAATATTACGATTAGTGAAATGTTAAATATCATTATTAACGGAAATGAGAGGAAGTTCAACCTACCGAGGTGAAATTCTTGTCGTGGTGCTGCTCCTAGTGCGTCCATATAGCTGAAATGGTGCCCGTTGCAAAGCCTTAACACTCCTTAACATGATAGTGTACTCCCAGGGGTTGGAAAATAATATATATAATTCTATCGGTTTTCAGAAAAAATATAATCCGTCATTGCCGTATCGACCAAAACAATAATAAGTACTGCAATTATTGTATGTAATTGATAGAGTTTGAGCGGTGTAGTGGTATGGCGATGAAGTGGTAAATACTTGAAGTCCACCCGTCGAACATGAGGCCGAACTGGTTTCCCATATCCGTCGAAATGCGTGACCCCACCTTGCTTGCAGCGTGACGCATGTATTTTACCAAGGTCTTCAACGAGACCGGCTTGATGGCAGCTAGCGCACGCGTCATCGGATCATCCACCTCACTCAGCGGCATGTTCCTGGGTGGTTCGTTGCCAGATGAATAATTAAATTGGTGTAGCCCGTCCCTGGCGACTGCTTTCGAGCTCTTCCGCACTGCTTGCAGGAAAACTGGCCGTTGCCACAGTCCGTGAAGAAGAAGTTGGTGATGGTGTGTGAAGTCAACATGGCAGTTGGAAAAAAGAGGAAATGAATGACAGCACAGCGTTTTTAAACGCCTTCGTCTAGATCACACCAACCAGTCGTTCGAAGCGAGCGCTGATCCGCCAATGATTTTCTATTTGTGTTGTTACGTATAGTAAAAAAACTCAAAATAGTTATTACGGGGCCAATTGTATTGTGGTGTAGGGATTTCCAGATTCGACCATACGCCAACCTACTGTGGGTCAAGAATCGGCTCGGTCTGATAACCCAGAGCTTAGGAGCAAAGGATCACGGTAAGTACTCGGCGATCTGTCCGGATATGCTATCCGGATAGCCGCTGAGCTCAACGGTCGCCGGAACTCAGCTGAAGGGTCGGTAGAGATCCGAAACGACTACATTTCACTAGATATTTGTATGAGAAGCGTAGGATTAAATAAGGGGAGCCGAAAGGGCTCCCAGAAGATAACATAGCAGAATTTTCCTAGTCCAAGACACGTGTACACTTTTCCGGTAAGTCCCTGCATAGGGCTGGATTATGCCTGCCGTCAATACTCGAGAGGCATAGCTTGTAGGGTATTGATTGGTAGCGCCAAGAGATTAGGTCGGTCCGGGTAGGACAAAGTCTCGCTACGCGCAAAAGAAAGCCCCGCAAACTCAGCGGGCCGGTACGTCGGATAGCCCGGGTGCCGTAACACTTCTAGCCGAGCAGCCTCTGCGCTCGATGACCTGTAAAAGCGCTCGCGCGCCGTCGTCCATCCTTTGGTGGAGGGCACAGGGTTGTGAACGAGCTCAGCCGAACCAAACTCGGCGGAGCCTCGGAAGTGATCTGACTTGGTTAGTCGGAACCGAGTGGAAGCGAGCCACTCGTCTGTCCCGGAAGGGCCGGACCGCGAGGGGACCACCCTCTGCGCAGGCCATACAACCGCCGACCTAACTCGGCGAATTGTTGTGGTTTGTGTAAGGAATCCACATCTGACGGTATTTGTGTGTTGTACTACACCACAACTGGTGCCGCGACCCGGGTACAGGAGTGTGTGCTTGTTTTTATGGGTGCCAGCTAACCAAGTTAAGAGGAAGAGAAGAGAAAGAAAAGAGTGAAAATGGTCAAGGGATCAGCAACGCCAAGCGACGGAAGCCCAGCGACGGCTGGAGGATCGCCTCTCGCGGGGTCGGACCCGGCGGATCAACGACTCATCGCCATGACGATGGAGGTCTGACGAACCGTCCAGTTCGACGAGGATGGCCAAGACCAGGAGAGCGAGAACGGAGATGCAAGTGAAGAAGAGTATGAAGAGAAGGCCGAGACCGCTGAGCTCGGAGAAACGAAGACTACCGCCGAGCTACTTGGCGAGGTGGAAGAGTTGACGCTGCAGGTGGGACGCATGGGAGTCCCACGTCCTGTCGAGCGCAGCTTATCCGCCGAGCTCGACGAAGGTGCGGACGATGAAGAAGATGAAGAGGAACACGGCGTTGCTCAAGGGGACCGTCCGCCCCTTATCCCGAAAGCGACGAGGAGCGCCGATACGCCGAGCGCCAATAAAGTGTTGACTCGACTCGGCGAGGAGATGAGAACGAGATCGGAATGGATGATGATGTTCGCGCCTGTGGCGATGGCGCAGGCGAAGTGGCCGATGTTGGGTTCCGAGTTAACTCAACCGGTGCGTGCAGCCAACATCAATCAGTTGGTGGAAGAAACTGTGTTGCTGTTGAAGGCGATGGGCTATCGGTGCAACAGCCGACCAAACAGCCTCATCCTGTCCGACTGGAGTCTGACCCGTGGCGGAGCTGAGCTCTGGCAATGGAAGAAGAAGTTGAGAGTGGCGTTTGGATTGGAGAAGGCCCCTGGTGGAACGAAGAAGGTGTACAGCCGAGTAGCCGAGTTCAAACCACTCGGCGAAGACCCAAGCAAAATTCCTTTGCCGAAGACCCCGGAGACGAAGAGACGTGAAGTGTTCCGCGCTACGCAAGGGACTCCGTACTTCGAAGACTCCCACATGCTGACTCCAATGAAGCTTAACCCGACTCAGCGAGCGCCGAGTCGTGGACAGCGGAATGTTGGTCGTTACCGTGAATTGTATGACGCTGCTGACGAGGCTGAGGCTTACGAAGAGGATGAAGAAGGCGACGACGCCTTCGACATGAGAGGTAACCGTGAAGAAACCGTGAAGGACTACATCCGAAACTTGAGCTTTGACGCGGCTGAAGAAGACTCGACGCAGTACCTAGAAGTCCGAACCCACGCCTCACTCGACAAAATCGCTGAGCTCGAAGGAAAGCGCTACCGCTCTGATGCGTCGCTCCAGTGGCTCAAGCGTTTCATCTACGAGATGAAGAGCACCAGGATGCCCCAAAGTGCCTGGTGCGAACCTTTCTCGCTATGCTTGGGACGCGCGGCGAAGAGTTGGTACAGGCAGCTGCCGAAGAAGACTCAGCGACGTTGGAAACTACTCAGCGAGGCGTTCCTGGATTATTATTGCTCACAGTTCGACCAATCCGCCTGCATTCGTTACTGCTCGGCGAGACGTAAAGTCAACGAACCGATCTGCGACTTCCTGATCCGACTCAACGGGTATGCTCGGACAGCCAAGATCCAGTACGAGAAGGGTGGCGCCGACGCGGCTGACCATGTCGAACACTTTTTGCTGCATTGTGGTGATGACGATGTGATGGATTTGATGTACCCCTTGCAGTTGGAAGACATCAGTACGGTGGAACAGATAATCAATCGTCGGATCCTCGGTGAAAAGCGCAAGAAGCAACGCGACCGACTCGTGATCGCACGAGACAGAGACGATAAGCAAAGGGATCAGGGCCGCCGAGATGAACGCCGAGATGGACGTCGAGATGAGAAGCGCAGTCGCAAGGAAGAAAACCGCGATTGCCGAGTCACTGTCGTAGACGCTGACTCTGACGGGGAGGAACTCATCGATCAGAACCCGCCGAGTCCGTACAACTCCGAAGACGAATGGGATGATGAGGACCAGTCCGGAGGACACGACTCAGCGGAAGACGACGACTACATTGACGCCGGTGTTTCCAATGATAAAGGAAATACACCGGACCGCCGAGAGAACTCGGCGGGAGACCAGAATGGCTCAAATCGAAGTTGGGGAAACTCAGCGAACCGACCTCCGCGACCGTACAACCAACGAGAACAGTCGAACCCGGAGATGGATCACGCGACAACTCTCAGCGCGGACCTTGTGCAGCTTGTGGAAGAACGGGACACTCGGCTCACTACTGTCGACGACGCTGCAAATCCTGCAGACAAGTCCATGAAGGCGGCCAGTGCGAGCTGTTTCGTCAATATGAGAAGCTGGCTGCGTTCGTGAAAAACTCCGTCGACAAGTCGCTAGTGCCAGAAGATCTGCAAAACCTTTACGCGCCGAGTGATTTAAACTCGGCGGCCCGCCAACACTGACTGGGTTGGAATATGCCGGGCTGCCACAGTCAGCTGAACCTGCAGTTAAGGCGAACTTCTTGTTTGCCTTCGTAGGCGAAGCAGGACGGCCCGAGGGAAGAAGCGGGGATGGCAATTGGATGTGTGAACTCGACGGAATTGAACGTGAGCTCGGTGAGTTAGATGATAACCACCGAGCGATTGCAAGTGTAACTCGGCGGTCAGACCAGGCTGTGCATCGTACCAGAATCATGAAGCTGCTTCCGGGAGAACGGCTGGGATGGTGGTCAGCACAGACGTTTGATCGCCGAGTTAGAATGAGAGCTCTCGTATTGGGTGCAGTGAACGACCGAAGGACCAAGATATTATTGGATACCGGAGCAAATGTCTCGGCGATTAGTGAATACTTCGCGAGGAAACTTCGTCTCAAGAGAATGGCCAGCCGTGATAAGCGAATCGACATACAAGGAATAAGTAAGGACAGAATGGTGACAACGTCAGGAGCAGTGGTGAAGGTGACACTCGGCTGGGAAGTGGCATACGAGTTTGAAGTATGGATAATGCCTCATCATGCCGGAGTCGATTTGATTCTCGGCATCGACTTCATGATCCCAGCTGGAATCCGTCTGGATCTGTACAACTCGGCGGTCAAGCTACCCGATGAGATGGTGATCCCACTCATCCGATCAAGTAATGCGCCGACCAAGACCGAGTTCAGACCAAATGTCCCATGCAGACCACCAGACGGGTTAACGATCGAAAGTCGAATGACCGCTGAGTTCAAATTGCCCAGGCGACAACCCAGTGAGTCGACGCATGACTTGTGGGTGCGACGGACGAAGGGCTGGATTCCAACGGTAGTTTTTAATCGCCGAGGAAGACCAACCCATGTCCTGATTACGAACGTACGACAGACGTCAGTCTGGTGCCCACCTCACTTTTATGTGATAAAATGGCAACCACACGGAGTACTGGCCAATGAGGGATATGTCCGCGTGAACTCGGCGAAGTACCGTGACTGGCAGATATTGGCCTTTGAGTCGGCGATAGATAAAGATTTGCTGCAGAAAGAACAACGACTGTACGAAGACTGG